ATTAGCAGTCTCACCCACAACCCTACAAGCGGGGTCGACCCAAGGACCTTCGGTCTCGAGCGTGAACGCTTAATCTAAAGAAAATCCAGTTGATATCCATCCGACTGAGACTCAACAGCCTCGACAACCCTATACTGACAATTATCATGTGCCTACAAGTTACTAGCTTCATCAGTAGGAAGCTATGACTGGTGGGGTTCAACTGTGTTGAGTGTCAAGCACCGAGTGATGGACGAGCTATATAGTAGCTTGACGGGAGTTCGAAATTAACACAGTTGTTCTTGACGTTAAGCGTTCACGCGGCGAGGCCGAAAGCCCTTGGTTCGATTCCCGCTTACGGGGTCGTGGATGTGCACTACTGATGAACCCAACATCGGCACGAAACCTCTGTCCAGTACTCCCGAACTTCCAATAGTGACCAGAGATTTCATATAACAATGAATCAATAATATTACTCGCTCAACAAGTGCAGGTTTGTACACTCGACTTTAGCGCATGTTTGTAAGAGTTTTAGTGATACTTCGACTGGTTAAAATTTTTTTAGACTACTAAGTCCACACTTCACTTACCACTCACAGAGTCAGTCATTCAAAACAGAATCACTAAAATTTAAGCTGAAATGGGCAAAAAATCTCCCTTAGTAATTTAAAGTTTATTTACTAACAGTTGCCATCTCATTGTTATAACTGTGTAAAAATCATCGTAAGTTTAGTAAGAGTAAACATTCCTTTATTGAATTGTTGACAATTTTGACTCTTATTCACTAAAATAATTCAAAATCATAAAAATATTTTAGATGTTTGTTTACTTTTCATCATATCCATTAGGAATCATCAATCATAATAGCAATTCCATATTGTTGAACAACTAATCGATTTCATCTTATTGTGCGCTTGTATATACAAATAGATATGTATGTTTATAAATGTATGCAAGTACAAAGTATTTCTAATTTCAAATTTTACATCATTTATTGATTGCGCACACATATTATTTCATAGTTGATCAGTTAAAGAGAGAAAAAAACGTTTTGACTCATTCACTTATTATTGTAATTGGATTTTAAGGTTAATTACAAGTAATTGATTTTTTTTTCATTATCAATGAGCAATTCATCAGTAAAAAGAAATCTTTTTTCAGTAAATATGAGCATGCAATAAATGTGACAATATAGTGATTGTGGATTAAGATTTTAGTGATAACAGCAAAGATTGTTTAGTATCCACAATAATATATACATTGACAACTGAGTCGTAGCTGGTATCATGTTGGTCTTGTCATTAGTGCTGATTAAATTCTAACGGTCAAGTAAGTAATGCGACCATTAGTCTGTGTGACTCGACTTCATATGAACTATATGTTGAGATGTTAGTGATCGGAGATTGTAGATCAACCTATGGAATTCGTTCAGCACTAAGAACTTAACAAATATTACATTAGTTAGTACACGACGATCAACTAGCAGTAAATATCTCAATGAAAGCACATCAGACTGTTAAGCTCGCCGACTCAGGTTCCTATCTGTCAGTGCGCATCAGTTCTTCGTCACTTTATCTTTATCATTTTAAGTCTATTTCACTACTTCTTGAATAATATTTTCTAATCCTAACCTCTCCAACTGCTGATATTACCTTCTCTACCTCTACTACTATTGGATTTGAATCGACAATGACATCTCTGTGCTAATGTGGTATGGCAACATGAACTGATGTACGTACGTACGAAGTTCTACGTTGCTATTGGTTGATTGATTGAGTTCCCTGAAAGGTGTTAGCTAGCAAAAACTTAACTTTGGTTACTTTTTCCTGTTATTTCAATCCACCTAACGCCTACACAATAAGATGAAAACGAATAGGTTAATTGAAATAATCAATTTTCAGCATCAATTAAATGATCCAGAGTATCTTCAAGAGGAATTCATTGTATTAGTATTAGAATCAATCACAAACGGTAATATTCCGTGAGAACATGATAAATAACCAAAGTTATGAAAGTATTTCTCGAAAGAAGTGTTAATAATGATGACTGATTACGATCAAAGTGTAAAAAAGCATATAATATACTTCTGTATAGAAAAGATAAAACTACATCCTGTAAGTAATCAAAACTTTTACAGTTTAAAGGAGTTAATAATGAAGAAATATTGGAGCGAATAGAGAAAAATTCACGTAAATAACTCTTATATATATTTTGAAAAAAAAAACTACAGAATTCATACTGGTTTACAAATATAATCAGTTTGACAGAGAAAGAAACATGAAATGTAGAAAACCGGTGTATGAATTTAGTTTGTTTGAGATGCTATAGTTCAAAAATTGTTTAGGTATTATATTTTGTAGATGGATTATTCCTTGCGGGAATCAGTCGAGAAACATCACTTCTTTGTAAGTGAACATCCTGTTGATGTTTAAACAGTGTAACTAAGGCTGTTTCCATTGACATAACTCAGCGGATATAGCCGTCTACAAAATAAATGATACAGACCACAGGACGACAACGACACTTATCTATCTTTATCTGTCTACCTTGATACATGTTTCATGTTGTTTTATGATCGACTGTTTGGCTTAGGTATTATTGAAATTAGTTAAACAAACCAGAGAGGCGTAAACTTTAATAAACAGACTCACTAATAACAAAAATTAAACACTTATTATCCCTATAATTTCACTCATAGAATGAGGTTTACTCAAATGTGTAATCATATTTAGGGCATTTTCAGATGAAAAGTAATCATTGGCACAGAGGATAAAGCGTGAGAGTGATTTTATTTCACGGATAGAACGCAGCAAATTATTCCAGAAGTCGCAAGAGCTGTGTGTTAATATCTTGAAAATCATTTTAACCATCACCCTCAGGTTGACATCTGACTGTACTTATGCATGTCCTTATTTATTACTTTACTTAATCTGATATATTATAGACTTGTCTGGTCACATTAATGAATATAGCACTAGGTCAATTGAGTCACGAAAAAAACTCATTGAATACCTATTCCGTCAAAATTAAGTGTACACCTTGCTGTAATGTACCAACTAACTCCAACAATTAGGTCTGGAGACTCCTCTCAACGGTTTTCTAAAATTTGTTATATGCTTGGTTAATTTGTGAATATTTCTTACCCATAAATAAACGAAAATATTTTTCAAAAGATTATCTTATATATATGTTACTCAGTAGCAGTGTATTATAATTCATGAGATGCGAATCGTCTTTACATATTCCTGAATAATATCAAGTGTTTACCTTGATTAACTTATCTTCACCAACTTCTTACAAAACATTATTTAATAGTATGCGTTGCGCCACTCATTTATGACGTGCTACAAATTATGATTCTTTTGAAGATTTATTTAAATGTAGAGTTTTCTTTATTAGAAAAAATAATATTACTTGAGTAAGATGAACTGTTTATATTTAAAGGAATCTCGAATTTCTTTTGAAAGTAAATGTCTAACATTGCATAAATATCACTTAATTATAGAATTGTTTTTTTCTCTTCCTCTCGCTCTCTCTCTCTCTTCTACCAATGATAATCATGAAAGAATAATTGTTTTATAAGAATATGCTCTAAAAACTGTGATATATCAAATGCATGCTTTATGAGGCATAGCTAACTGGTTATCTGATTTTTCTAGATAAATCTGATGTAAAATACAGTTTTTTGTGGGTATTCTTTTTCAAATGAACCATTTCATTGAGAGTTGTTCTTCATAGGAGCATAATGAAACAGTAGTTTAGTATTTAAAATGCTTAGATTTCAACCAGTTTTTACAAGTCACTTCCTCAAATTCAATTTCACCTACTTTTGTAAAACCATCTGTCTTTAACAAAAGTGTGGTGATTCTTTGTTCTGGTGTGTAAAAGTCAACTAATAGAAAAAGTATGTTGAAATGTAATGAATAAAATTAGTAGCTTACGATTTTTACAGGGGCTCAGGAGCTCTGTTACTCAATGTTAATCTCTTCAGGATCGGTGATATGATACATAGCAAATGAGCTAGCGAATGACGGACCAGGTTGACATCGTTTACAATATTTAATCATGTAATGCTTCTGTAAATAATTTGCCTATCATTTTTTTGACTTGATTAAAACATTCTTCTGGTTAGTGGGCTTGTCCTTGAGTCAATATAACCACTTAAGCATTCATTGGTAAGCCATACTGTTTGATTGCATTTATCTATCGATCAGGACAGTTTTCTCAACCCCCCCCTCACAAATCATTGAACATTTCGATAAGTCTGATAAATGAACGCAAGATTCGAATTCCTATCAGCTCCTAATAACCTGAAGCTTAATCTACACTGCAACTTGAAAACAAAAGAAAAGGCGCGAAGTACGAGAAGAACGCTTTACTCCAAGGTTCGTTTACATACAGAAAAATGAGGGTATTTATGGTTTGAATCATGAGCTCAGGCCTCCTGAAGGTTCGAGAACCATACTAAATATAGTAGCAGCATGGCTAAAACTCCAATCAGAATCGTGGCATATGGTCCCGGATTTTCTAGATATCTCTGTTAAGGTTTCATTCATTGTTGATTGGATGAAACATTTCCTGGCACTTCTGGTTCGATATATACTTTTGTGATATATAGTTCGGGGCTGTCAGACACATTCTTATTGATTTCTGTTTAAATCCTATCGAAATCAATATCTCAAAATTCATATTCAGTTCCTTGTCTATTAGGTTATCAGGTTACAAGAATTAAGGGTTTTGAAGGTAAATTAGGATACACGTGTATCCTATCCTATCCCATCTAGTATTACTTTTAGTAGTGCTACCATTCATTATTCTGGACTTTTTTCTCACTTCCAATATTATTTCACGGGTTTTAACCTTGTTCTATCTGGGGACCTTTAGGTAGATAGACAGAACGGTTTATACTAAATGTTGTTTTGGGAAATCGTCCAAATCTTTCGAACTACCCTGTAATTAATCAATCACCTGATCATTCAACTTTATTAACGTTAAAAGATACCGTTTCTTTAAAATTATAGCTACGTCTGGTCGCCCTTGGTCATACCTAATCAACATACTGAATAATGAAGCCAGTGATTCGGAATTACTGATCTATACAATGACTTTGTTAAATAAAACATTGAATTCTATACCGGATCAAGATACATTTTATGATGTTACGGATTGTCTCGAAGAAATGGGAATGGAGAAAATCGTTCAATGTCATTTAAAGAAAAACTGTGATCCAGAACTAGCTGAACAATTAAATTTATATGAAGTACGTATCTGTTTCCTCGATGTATCTCACCTCTTTTTTTTCTGATTTTGTTACTGCCCCATTATAGCGTACAAAATAAATTAATGACACCGTTTATTACATTTCGAATTATATCAGTCAGTTGACAGATACTTATCAACTAAAATTTCCTTCCGAAATCTACAGGCCTCGTAGACAGAATGATCATGACATCGACCAGTCGTCGTAACACTGCTGGCCATAACATGGAGTTGTACAAGTTTACTTCGCAAGAACGTATCTGTTTACTTAAGTTTTAAATCACTACTGATTTAAAGTTAAAAAATAAGACTGATTAAACATTATGTTAAATTTATAGAGTTTTGTATTCATTTCGATAAGTTGACCTGTGCAACGATTAACTAGTATCCTTATTCTTAGCTTTATAATCACCAATGATAAATGCTATTTATTATCGCTTGATGGGGCTGGAAAACGTCTGAAACAAATTCTTTAAAAACTGTGTTCAGTCAAATTGAAGCATAAGTAATGCAAATAAGTAAATAAAATAATAGAACTGCTTATTCTGACTTATTTTGTTAGGGGTTTTAAATGTTTTTTTAACTATATGTCATTAAGTGTTTAAAACATACCCTTATTCAAAATCAATTTTACTGACTTGTCTAAACGCAACTTAATGTGTTACTTCAATTATTTTGGATATCTATCTATCTAATCGTCTTCACGTTCTCGCAGCATCTAACTATATTCTTTTTAAACATAGTTTATCATTTGATAGTAGGGCATCGTTCATTATTTCTGTTATTGAATGATTGTTGAAATTATGAAATAATCTAGGAAATAATAGTTTCTTATGAATAAGCAGTCCATTGGTGTTAAATATGTTGTTAGTATTACAGATATTTATAATCTTAGGTAATTAGCAGAATCTTTTCCATGGAACCTAGGTATTTTTTTCTAACATTCATCTATAGAACGTATCTTCACTCTTGAAGAAATTGATGCACCCCGAGTATTATTGAAACCTACAGATTAGTTATTTTTGTTCGTTCAAGCCATCAAGATATGATGAACGCTGTATCAATTATTATGTATTCTTGACGTCAGCTTTTCGTCACAGTATCACTACCTGCGAGATTTGGATTCATATTAATTATTATAGAATTGAATTAAACTGATAAGTTTTTGTGTAGAATTGGTTACGATCTGATCAGGTGAATAATTTGATCTTTATACCACATACCGTTTTTTGCGAAAAAAAAACAAACAAACCGTATCCACTTGATTGATATTGACATAATAATTTAATGCCATAGTTTATACAATAACTTTTCCATTTTTCTTTATAGGCAAGTCTACGATATGAGGATGGTGAAGATTTTGACGAACTACCTTTACCGATTAGTGGTCGTGAAAGTTTACGTCAATGTAGACGTATGAGTAGAGTGCAATTTATGAAAACACCAGAAGGTGAAGCATTATTATCATCTATGCATGCACTACCAACTAGTCAGTCAATGGCCAGTGATATGGATGGAATGCTTGGTCGTAAATCGAAACGTTTTCAATCAGTAGAAAATTTACAAAATAGTGGATTATCAAAAAGTGTTACAAATACAAAGTACGTGTTGTTTTGTGTTTACTTGAAGTGCATACATATATATAATTTATGTAAGTGGATATCTCCTAATTCATAGTATATTTTCCTTCTTCTTATCGGGTAGATATTTGAGTAGAGTTGCACTACAACTGATACGCATCTTCTTCTTGGTAGTACGTATATAAATATTCTCTTGTTATAATTCTTATGAATACTGTGTGAGGACAATTGCACCAAATTCAATTTCCAGTTGTTAATTCTGATCCCAAAATGTATTTAATTTTGTGCATTAATTCAACTTAGTTATTCGTCATTGTAGACAATTCATTCAGATCAATCGTTTATCATTGATTTTTGTTTAAAAATTAAGCGACAATTCCAATGGTCATTTAACAACATTAAATCATACTTCTAATATGAGCTATTTTATTTTACAAACAATGAATTTTTAACGCGAACGCGATCTAGTACCAAAATACAGTTGACACTATAAACTGCTAAACAACATCTAATTATCGTCACTTTGTTTTTGGATTTATAAAAAGTCTAAACTGAACGAATCCGTTGTATCGTAGGTAGTTTTTTTTGAAAGACTTGACTATTTGATACTTACTTGTTTAGTTTGATACACCAATGAACAGTTCCAATTTAAGAAAAACAGTTAAGTTATATTTTACAGCTATGCATAGTGTTTTAAACTTATAATAATAATAATTATTATTATTATATGTGAAAATGAGTTTTAAAATACTTTTGTTATTTGTATAGTTTGTGTTTGGTCAATATGTTGCTGCAAATATACATTCATGGACAGTCTAATGTCACTAAATCTACGATACTATATAGAAATGGAAATCATCTGATTGTCAGTCATTTGTTTCACTAATCCAGTACATTAAATAACTTAATTTATTGCTGTTTAGAAATTATTAGTTTTTTTTAAGTAGTGAAATTTCAATGTATAATTATTCTATGCACTACATTATTAAGCTTAGCAAGTTATAGAAAAAAACCACAGTGTTTTTATTTAACTGACATATTAATTGAATAAAAGTATTATTGAAACGGTTCAGATAATTATTTGTTAAAGTTTTCACCACATATGTGGTTGAACAACAACAGAACAAAGCTAAGGTCCACATTTTATTGACAGTTCGGATTGTGTTCAGTACTGAAGAGAAATGCATTGAAGCATAGTTAAGGCTACAATTTTCGCTATGAAATGATTCCTATCCATCATCTATTAAATCCATACTGTAACAGGAGCTAGTCATATTCACTGTTCTGTGAGAGAGTAAATAATCTTTAAGTCGTTAATAAGTTAGCTAATGTGTTATATATGCATAGAATTGCTTTAATTACTCATCTTAAATAAACTGAAAAACGGAGAACAGATTTTGTTTTAAAACTGTATTATTATGTGTACTAATTAGAAGCATCATCTATCTGTGTACTTTTCATACATATTATTCATGCTGAGATATTGCAATAAGGACAGAGAAGCAATTAAATTGTTATCGATCAACCAACTGATTGATTTAATTCAATTTGTTTTTTTTTTGGTAAATACACATCAATTGGAAGTAAAACTAGTTTAATTGTTTAATGACTTCTTCTCAGCTATAAAGTGTATTAGTTAGTAATAAAGATATCTTCAATTTATTTTATCACTTAGGGTAAATTCAGTAATATGTGTGGTACAATAAGTGTTAGTAAGCAGGATATAAAAAGAAATTAGTATTTTTGCAGGTCTGAACACGTCTACCAACCTATTGCGTTCGTGCCTTAAGCGTTATTATGCAGTCATGAATTAATAACATGGAAGAAGGGATATTCTAGATGAATAAGTATGTTGGCTGACGATGTCGTGGTATCACAAGAATACCGAAATCGTGCCATAGACAATTGGCGGAAGGTACAGAGCAGCAAAAGCAAGCTCGCGACCACGCAAAAACAAAGTTGGTACAAAAGTACGAATAAACAAAATGTTCGGTAAAACATCCACTGGTACAGTTAGTTATCATAATGACTGTTTCTATTTAACCAGTTATGTTTTCTTCGTAAAAGTGAAATCATTACAAATGTATCACAAATGAATGTTTCACCATGTAAAGTCCTTACTGCAACTCTCTCTATTGACAAGTGACTTTAGAGATAAAGAAATACCATTTCTTTGACGGAATGACTGCACTGTGTAATCCTTATTACAGCTATGATTCTACTTTAGCAATAAATTATGTTTTTCTCCCGGGGTTTTATAGTGTTGTTCTGTTAGTACACTAAAGTGTACTTGTAATAAGTTTTGTGTTAAGTAATAAGTAAGTGCGTTGGAAGAAACAATGAGAGCTGTCACCATTTAATCCTATCTTTGTTGCCTGACATACTTTATAGCTTGACTTGACTACAAAGAAGAATCTGATGACAAGGATGAATCACAGACTAGAAAGGGTGTCCAAACATTCGCTATTGCAAAATCTGAGTTTAGTGTACCACCCAGAAACCTTCATCTGTAGATTTCGTTTGGCAGTAGAGATCAATGGTGTAGAAAAGTTTACTTCCTACAGTCACAACCTAAGTAGCTCGGTGGTATTTTCCATTAGGTTGTGAAAATGTACTGACTGAAACGTCTGAGGTATGTAATATACATGCCCGACCACAGTCTAAATTGACGTTCAATGCTGACTGACAGGAGTTTTCTGGAAGGTTAGAGGCCACTAACCCACAGGTAATGTAACTCTAAATTTCAAACAAATGATGCATATAGATTCATTCCTTATCTTCTTCTAACTATTGTATTTTTATCTAATTCTTTTCATTAAAAGTATCCATTTATTTTTCGCTAAACGTATGCTCTATTTTCACGGACTTAGCTAGACTACCATTAAAAAGTCTGAAGCTTTGGACGGCCATTTTTTGTCATAGTATGGGACTTTTCCTATATTGATAACAATCATGTACTCACTAGTCACTAGCTTCAAGACTTGACTCCTGAAGTTCTACTAAGAGGCTGTGACCAATAGAGTTCCATCCGTGTCGGTTGTTATTCCCTACAGGCAATGAAGAAAGTTTAGGCAAGATCAGATATTGATTGATGCGAAAAATCAACACTGTTGGAACCCAGCTTAGTGTTCTAGACACTAAGCGGTAGAGCGCGAGAGCGAACGTCCTTAGTTTGATTCCCGGTTGTAGATTCGTGGATGCACAGTGTTGAAGAGTGTCATCCAGGTTCATTAATGGTGGTCTAGCTAAGACCAATTTATGACTTCAATTGTGAAAATTTCCTTATACTAATGTATCATTTACATTCTGTAACTTTTTTAAAATTAACACTACTATTAATTCAATTATTTATCGTTTCCCTCTCTCATTATATTACTGATTTTAATTTATATTTCTATCAAGTTCAATGTTGGTAATGAATAAGTTTTATTTGTGGCACAGGATAACCAAACTTCACTAATTCTCCACAGAATCCTGTGTGTTTCATTGAAGTCTTTCATATTACTTCATTCAAACAAATCACTTCATTAATTATTTTTACATTTACAAGATGGATGCTCCTCATCATTTCCTCAGGGAAAATTTATTAGTTCATCCGATTTTGTTTTGTCATTTTCAACTGCAGTTCCAATTCGCTCACAAAACAAACTGACCAGAAACTAGTCAATGCTTTTCTGGCTAAAGAAGGTAAACACAATGAAAATATGAGTCGAGATAATAAACGAAAACCTGAAATGAATGGTTGTAAGTATCAGAATATTTTTGGAAAACCAATTAATTTATTTTAGTATTTTTTTTTGTTTTTCTGATACGATCTCTTACTTTTATTCGATTATAGCTATCCGCTGCTCAAAAAATTTCTTTATGAGTAGAAAATCTTTTGGGCATGTTTTCATTATTGTGTTATGAGGTTGAACCACAGAATCTAGACAACCATAAAAATTTACTGAGATATTTTGATAGGAATACATGCGCACACCCACATATAACAGATATGGAACAAGATTTTTCTTGAGGATGCATTGAGTAGCATGATGAAAAATATAAATGAACAAACAATCAATGGCCTAATTTTGTAAAGAATTCCAAGACTTGAGAATACTGTAATGGCAGTGTAATGAATTTCAGTTCTTCGATTAATGAAATATCTAATATGCTAGTTAGATACAACAAGCAATGACAGTCTATGACCAATATATGATGCTTATGGTGATATTCCAATTTGAACATATATATTACATCTCTAAAAGAACACGCATACATGAAAATGGTTTTCTTACTAGAACAAAACAGTAATCTAATTCACTCTGATGTTTAATCGTTGCCTAGTTGAAAATGATCAGTGATGTAAACTGTCTCTGTCTTCAAATTATCAACTACCTAGATCCTTAATTCGACTATCTACCCTATTAGTTTCGATGGCTTGGTGTAATATACTGACTACAGCACGTACACGCAAATTTTCTCAGTTTTCGAACCATCTTCTGTTCCAAGCTCCGACATCCATTGATTTACAAATCTTTCTTAATATTTAACCGGAACCATAATATTATAGCTCATTCATGTGTAGTATTACAGAGTTTAACTGAATTTGACAAAAATCTATCGAAATTTTCGTTGAGGAAGTTGTATTACCGATTATGAGATGTAAGAACTAGATATTTATACAGTACAATTTTTTGTCTAATCAAATTGATTATCTCACAGACAACCTTCACAATTGTAACCAATAAGCATTAGCTTATTGAAAAACATTTGTCTTTTTTTCATCATTAAAATTATTTTTAGAATGTTAACAAAATGAAAACAATTTAAAATGTGTATTCAGCATTTTAAGGATGTGCATACATTATCAAAGTTAATACAGACATAAATATATTTGATCAGTTAGAAATGTCAACAATAAGTTGTGTTTTTTTCTTGAATGACATTTCTTTACAGTCACAGTTCAAGTATGTACTTACCTTCTCATGGTTCATGGTTTTTTTTCTAATGGACCAATACTAGGGAGAGGGTAGTTGTGCTTGTTGTCGATTTGAGTTATTCAGCGTAATTGATTTTGATATATATATATATTCATTTAGTTGTCGTCTTCAGATAGTCTATGTGGTGTTTAGTTTACTTTTATTCAAAAAAAAAACCGACAAGTAAAAGCTTGTAACAACACAATGTTTTCTGATTTTCACACAACGAGTAATGATAGTATACTTTTCATACAAAATGATATGAAGTATATACGATTGGGAAATTAAACTGTTCACGTCCGAACAAATTTCTGAATAATTTGTCTGCCTTATTAAGATCATTTGAAAAAATGAGTGAGCAAACAATAAATTGAAATTCTAATTGACTACTACTGATATTTTTTGATATTACAGTAATATGAGACAGTTTAATCTAATTTAATTTTGTATACCTACAATTCAAGACAAATTGTATATAAGATTAGTGTGACAATATGTAGATAATATTTACTGCAATGAACGCTTTCTTATATGCATGTCATCATAACATTGCGTAATAATCAATGTTATTCATCAATTTTATTTTTTCTTTATTGTCGCTGTTGTGTCATGTATTCTTTAAATTTGTTCAACCTAACTTAAATATATGCATGAGCTTATCAGACAGTGAATGTCACTGGTATACTAATGAGTGATCGAGGAAATGAATGAAATCTGTTACTGCTATTATTGTTGTTGTTGAAATTATACATGAAATTGAAATATTTAACAAGAAAATGTGCATTATTGCATAATTGCTTGTTTTCTTCCTTGTTTTGTTCGAATAATCAATCGATATTCCTTTTATTTCACCTTCTTGTTCAATTATGAATGCGTTATAAGTATATTTTGTTTAAATAAATGAGTTCATTTTCCATTGCATGCATTCACTCACTAGATATTGATAATTTAACAAAAATTCAGTTAAATCGTCATACATCCAATGAAAATGAAGAAACAAATTATAAACCAAAACATTCTCAACAGTTTTCGACTGAAAATCAAGTAGATAGCCCACAGTACAATGCTTCTGATGTTGACAGCAATGATTCGTCTAGAATATATCGTAGAGCTTTTTCCGAAGGAATTGCTCTGATGTATGATGAAACATTGAAAACAATGGAAACTGAGGCGTGTGATACTTCATCAAGTCGTCCGCAGTCATATGGAAATGGTAAGCTCTACAGATCAATGTTGTTTCGTGATTTTATGTTTTCAAACATTTTTCATGTTGCAAAAGAGATGTCATGTTATCATAACTTTCGGTAAAAAAAAAACATTATTATAAATTTCATTTGTATTATATTTGTGTTTAATTTCCGTATTCCTCTCTAATTGTCTGTGCATCACTGACTTATAGCGACTGTTAACTAGTTTTATTAATTGGTAATCGTTTATAATTTTTTCATAGTGATAAAAAACTGTACAAGTGATTGATTACCGTGCAGTTAGACTTCAAGTTAACTAACTGAATCACTTCTTTACACAATAATTACTAAGTGAAATTGGGAATATTTGTCTCACAGACCCCCCTCTTTCGACATTGTAGAACTCCAGCAATTTCGACATTTCGCTAAAACTTTACAATAACCAAGCTGATCGAAAGTGTGAGCATGTAATCTTTACCACTATTTAGTTGAGAGTAATTATGAATTGTTCCATCTGAAGTAAATTTCGATCATGAACTAACATTTTTTCTTAGAAAAAAAAACATTTGAAAAGAAGGAATCATTTGACATTTATTTTGCCTCTTAATTTCAAACTTCTCGTCTACATGAGTATATACATATACATGATGCCGTCCAAACGGCAGACAAGACTTATTGCTGGTGCCTCACAGTTTTCATTCCAAGTTGGTTAGCTAGTTGTTACAATGACTAACATCATCTTTAAGCGGAAATGTTTCATGCTATTTAATAATTTTGCAACACATCGCTAACAAAATCCATAATAACCACCTAACTATTATGCACATTATGTGTACTCGTCATATAGATTAACTTCGTTTTTTCCTAATGACCAGTTTATTTACACATAACAATAAAACAATTATAACTGCTTACACATATTTATATCTGCCTATTTTTAAATGACTGTTTAATCATCATACATAGTTGAATAGTATCTTCATGTTATACTAACCATATTTTTTTCAAATTCAGATAACACTTATGAAGATGCTGCATCGGAGATTGATTTAACTCATTTAGTTAATGTTACAGATACAAATTCAACAAGTTTAATGACATTCAACTGTGATATTGTTGAACAAGACGAGAATTTAACACCCACTGAATTACACTCAAGTTCAGATCATCAGTATTCTGTTGAAGATATGGTACATTTTACTTTTAAAGAAGAAATCCTAGTAGGATCAGACCAAAACTTGACATTAGATAAACAGAATGGAATGGATTCAAGTGTTGAGAATGAGATGTTACAAAATTCACATGATGTATCTGTAAATAATGGACATGTAGAAGAAGAGAATGACAAAGAATTTAATACTGAAAAAAGTGAGATGATCAGATTTAGTTGTATTTTATTCAATAGAAAGATTCTAGTTTTTAGGAATTTCCAGCTAAGAATTAAGGAACTGTGTTATAAACTTGTAACAGGATTTAACCAAAGAGAGAGATTTATAGTAATTCTACATTGTAGTCAGTTTAATTTCTTATTTATTTTAAGTTTATTGGTCGTCAGTGAATAATCATAGAAACTACTAGGATTTGTATTTTCTAACCACCCATTACCGCCACACACACACATACTTAAGGAAAATATGTTTCGAAACCGAATGAGCGAAGTTATTATATCATCATCGTCACCATAATTGCATAATATTCATAAGATTTTAACGAATGAATGATCTATTGTCCGGAATAAACCAGTTAGCCAGTGATCAGCTTCAATTAGTCAACCACTAAGTGCCCAATACGATATTTATCCGGTCAGTTTATGTGGATTTGAGTCCTATAGAAAACATCACTTACTTAAAAATTACAAGTATGCTTCACTGACGAGTCCTGGCTAACACAAAATCTTGGTTCAGTTTCCTGTCATCCTACCTCCAACCCGTATCATAACTAATTACCGTCACATTATTGTATGCTTCGAATTTTGTTTTTGAGTATTCACTCAATGTAATCTCACCCAATATGTTAAATAATTCTAACTTTTCTATCATGATTTAGCTTCATATGGGATTTGATTTGACATTTGCGTCTCTGTGCTAATGTGGTATGGCAACCTGAACTTATATACATATGTACAAAGTTCTATATTGCAACTGACTGACTGACTCATCTTATGTACTTTACGAAAGATCTTCCATTGCTGTATGCACTTCTTGTTCAGCATTGTTGTCACTTAAGTGACAAATTGTATAGACTGAATGAATGTTTCCTTTTTTTCATATATGTAAAAATATAACAGTCATTTCAACATGTAAATCCTAACAAAGATCTAATCTAAACTTAAAAAACGATATTCTCCAATTATTATTGAGTTAACATGTTTAAATTAAAAGATTTTGATTTATTCATTAGTTTTACTCTATAAACACTATTGGTTATCATTATTCATTCATTCAAATTTACTTTTCATGTTTTTTTTTTGTTTGGTTTTTATTTTATTGATTAAAAAAATAAATTTGTGTTTTAGCTCTTTTTTTCGTAGTGAATGAAATAAACCACCATTATCAAAACTGTACACTACTTCATCTCGATTATGACAAGTTACATTCAGTACAAGTGGAATGAATATGATATATTTTCAAATTACATTTTATATAAATTTCTAAACTGAGGTGAAGCAAAATTAGAGGCATACAACCGCTTATTATAACATTGTTGTACTGATAATGCTTTATATGCTTGCATGTTAATAACTTGTATTGTTATTGCGTATTTACATGCATAAGTGAATTGTGAAGAATGTGCTTATTATTATTGTATGATGTGAGCATATGTGATAGTTCATCAGTATACATACAAAGGAATTATATTTTATTCAATTCAACTTTTTTTCTCTCTCTTTTTCTTCTTAATCTATTTGCCAATTTAATCGGTTTAGGGGCATAGTTAAAAGTAATTTGAACATCTACTTTCCTAATGTCTAATTTAAACTTACAACATATTCTCCCTATTTTATCATTTGTTACTTATTTAAGCTGAACCGGTGGATGATCTTAAAGGAAAAGTTATCGTTGTACCTGAGAGTCCAGTTGCTGGATCATTAAAAAGTAAAATAGAAGCACTTAGTCGTGCATCACAAAAACAATCAGAACATTCTACACCGACTAGTCCACCATCAGTTACTTTATCCAATACAACTGGAACAGTGCATTTATTAAAAGAAAAACATTCATCATTTGAAAATGTTAGTTTATTTTTCATCAACTTGTATAAAAATTTCTACTGATATGTTTTTTTTTTATGTGCATCAATTATTTCACTTATTTTATACGCGATGTGTAAATATTATTCATTTGTTGATTCGATTTCAATGAGAAACTTTCATTGTCTAGAAAAACTTTGAAAACTTCATAATTCAATCATCTAACCTAAATAATACAACATTAAACTAAGACTAACACAAATAAGAGGTCTGCACTCATTGATGAAAATTAAAATTGGTTTTCGAAACAGATTAACCATTATGTTAACTATGAAGTGTCATGATACAGTACCGCTGACATCAGTACATTCAGACAAGCAAAGTTCAATTGGAAGAACTTTGAAATTCTGAAGCGTGCAAATTCCAAGAACGCTGAAGAAGTACGTTGTTTAGACCGATTAACTCTCCAAAGACACATCAACATAAACCTATAATCTGTTAAGCTATATAGAAGAGATCAATTTATTATGAAACCAGATGTTAACTGACAAACACATGTAGGATTTAATTCGTCCTACAGATGAATGCGATACTGGCGAACACAGAGTCTATGTGAATGCTGTAGTCAGAATAAGGACAACTTGACTTTAAACTTTATCTGTTTCTAAACATTAGTACAATAATTAAGGAAATTACAGTTATCACGTGAAACAAGCAAACATACTGGCCGATATAGCGTGTCTTATGGAAATGAATAAAATTATGAGTCACATCAATATGATAAGATAATAATGTCCTTCAATTAGTAGGTCATTTACAACAAAGATAGTTTACTGACACGTCAGATCAGATCACGTGATGAACGCTTAAACCACAATTTGATTGGTTAGTTATGGAAATTTACGAACACACCTAATCTCAAACAATACCATCAGTTAGAACTAGTTTAACCGTTGTAGAAGAACTGAACAGCTCAATTTCACATTAAGTGGGCGCTATCTCGTCTGAGTACACACTATGATACCGATTGCCATTTTCTACTCAATTTATTAAGAATAAATTAACTAATGGACAAAATACTCCAGCTATCGTTCCTTTTAGTAGTAACCGACAGTTTGGCTATTTCTATTTATCTCACCTAATAATCATTGATGAGGATGTTGGATAATATTGTGTTATCTGAGCTCCACGAATAACTAATTTTTTCCTCCGAGTAAAACTAATTTGATTTAACGCTAGTTGAGGACAAAAGTATATGACTTTTTTTGAGGTAATATGTTTTTAAGAAGAATACGCTGTTATCGTTTTCCACTGTTCATCAATTTAATTTTCTATTCATGACATAGACTGAAGAACCGGTTAAACCACAGCTACCACGTGAGCGTAGTGGGAAAATTCTATCGGTCAAAGATCGTTTTGAATCAGGCATATCATCGAAACCACCAAGCTCTCCTGGTTTGTCAGTGTCTAATAAAAAAGTAAGTTTTAAAATATTTAAAAATTCCCATCGAAAAAATTAGAATCATCTATTCAAACGAACAGTATTGTTTTTGACTAGATTTTTTTTACCAGACTTTGGTCTGATACACCACAATGTTTACATGCATAAAATATTTGAAAAAAAATTTCAAGCAATCCAGTTAGTTTCTAGGTCAGTGATAATAAAATGAAGTAAACAAAAAGTTAATCATTTTAAACTAAAAAATTACAGGCTTACTAGTTACGACGAGAATAACAAAGGCTTGGACCGAAATTTCAACATGAAAAGTAAATCGAGACTCTAGGAAATAGATATTCAAATAATGATCATTGAAAATTGTCAAAATTACATCATGAGAAGTCCGCAAATAATCCGATAATGTGAGATCGTGTAATAAAAATGTGGCTGAAAAAATTAACAGAAATAGATTTCAAGGGAATCGTTAATTAAACCTTATCTGACCAAGAACGAAACAGTACTGTTACCGTGATTTATTTTAAGCACATACAATTGGATTTTAGTTTCCAATTCCTACACTACACGTAAGAGATTAAATCGATTCCAGTTGATGAATGACAAAGGTATAGGATGAATCAGTCAAACTTACTTTTATCTACAACATAATCATGTTTGATAAAAAGAAGCTACATATTGTCTTCGTTTGGCTCTTTAGACCAATTTCACTAATTCTCTCACATCCTCTCTCTGTTTGTTTTTCTCTGTTTCGTTTGATAAAAATGTAAATATTTATAAGTACGAAGATCTGATGCTGACACATTATAGGTAATAACAGTAGTATCAGTGATATTAGAAACATTTTAGCATAGACGATATGATTCGGGAAACAAACGGTTAGCTGAGTCTAAAGTGTACAATCATTTCGAGACTCAAAATCTAAAGAACAGCAAAAAAAGTGAATTCAGTCGCTTCATTCTGACCGATTTGGACATATATGTTGCATACAGAAATATTGATTTGATTATCCCTTTAAAAAAGATTTACAGATAGTAATATCTATGTTTTCAAAAAAAAAATCCATCATATTCTATTATTGTATTTTCTTGAACAATTTGGATTACAATTTCTAACTGACTAAAGCATAAAATATATGCAGAATGAACATTTATCAAGTTCAATTAGTCTCTACAATAAGAATGTGTTTATTATTTTAGCGAATTGTTGTTAAAGTTTTCTTCTCACTGTCAATATTAATAATATTACTTTATTCACTAATATGAGTAGACGTTAGTAGCCATTTTTTTTATAGATCCTTTTATTTTTTTTTGTGACGGAAAATTTAATTAGTCATATCAACTCGCTTATCGGTGTCAACGATTGGATGGATTTATTATCCTACCAACCGATTTAAATTATTCTCCATGTAAAGTGGTGGCTTACAACCACTTATTACTATTGTTTAACATATAAAGCTATAAAAGAGCAACTGATTAATTTGGTTTTCAGATTCTATATATTCAACAGTTCTGAGGAGTATATTAATTTCACCACTAATAGATCGATTATGTCAGAAATATCAGGCGTCTCCAGTATACCATGCGGTTATTCAATTACTAAAGTGTACCGAATTTTTCATAACGGACTATATTTTATATCATGATGTTTTATAAAGGTATAATTTTGCTATTGACAGGTAAACACAGAACAAATAACTACACCAACCAGTTCAATTCTAAATGAATCAGAAAACAATGTGGAGACATTTTGGCAACGTTGTTTGGATAAGGTTAAACGACTACCACTTCGTCTGAAAGACTTAGACTTTACTGATCTTGAAGCTGAAGAACAAGAAGATGGTAAAGAATCACCTAGAATAGTAGGACCCGGACCGCCACCCCCACCACCATCTTTCGGGAGTGGTCCTCCTCCTCCACCCCCACCGCCATCGTTTGGAAGTGCTCCTCCCCCTCCACCCCCACCACCTGGAGGAGGTGTTGGTCTACCTCCACCTCCACCTCCGGCTGCTCCAGGTTAGTATATGGCTTATATCGATGCTTACATTTTCATAATATTCAATGAATCCAATCGTGTAGAATTGTTTTGTATGCGAAACAGGAACATTTATATGCAACTAATTTTGATTTATTGGTGCTGTTTCGGTAAAAGCACATTTTTTGAATTTCAATGTCTGATAGGCCTAAAGACAAAATTATTACTTACTGTATATCTTCTCTATCAAGTGCCCAGTTCTTATACGCCTTTGTAATGAAGGCAGCTGTTTCATGGAATTTCGATCACCAGAATCAAGCGACATTCAGCTTTTATACATAATTCTATCTTTTCTTTTTGCCTTTAGGTGGCGCTCGACCACCACCACCAGCTCCTTGTCCTAGTGAATCGTCAAGTATTCCTTCGAATCTTCCACCAGCCCCTGGTACAGAGTTGCCGAAATCAAAGAAAACTATTCGTCTTCATTGGACTGAATGGAAACCGACTGTGAAAGATTTAAAAATGATTGCGTCAAATAAATCTTCATCATTTGATAAACCAGATACAGCTACTGGTATAGGCAGTAGATTTGTTGCTTCTTTATCGAATAGTAAAACAAAAGAAGTGAAAAGAGATGTGAAAACAATTGCAAATGCTACTGTATGGTCTGAAATTGTCCCAGTGAAATTAGATCCAGATTTTTTGGAAGAAACATTTGAAAATCGTTCATCTGATGTAAAAATAAAGGTATTTTATTTAATTTGTATAGAAATATCTTATATGTTTAATAATTCATCATCAACAGCAACGTAGAACTGTACACGTAAGTACAACAGTTCAAGTTGCCATACCACATTAACACAGAGATATAATTGTCAATTCAAATCCCATGGTAGTAGAAGTACTAAGAGTATTAGAAGTAATCGTAAAGATTAGGGTTCGAAGATTTTATTCAAGAAGTATAATTCAGTGAGGTAAATTCAGAAAGAGGAAGATATAAGGTGATGAGTAATTCAGAAGGTTGGAATTTCATAGAACACAAAAAGTGGATGCACCTGCGCCATTTCAAACGGTTTTGAGCCATGTCATTCAGGGTCTCTAACCATCGATTATTATCATCTCGCGGACCCCAACCAGGTAGCCTACATCTACCAACATGATTCATTCCACTTGTCAGTGACTTCATGCATTTGTGCCATGTTTTGGTTTGGCCGCCCCTAGCTTTCTTCCAATCGGTGGTTAGGCATTGGTAACACATGTCCCAACCACCTCAACTGATGAAGTTTCAATACTTCATCTATTGACCTGCCATCCTTACCTAGCACCCGTTTCCTAACGACAGCATTGCTTACTCGGTTGTCCCACGGTATACGAGCAATGCTTCTTAAACATCTATGATCGAAAACCACTAACCCACGAATGTCTTCTACTCTTACCGGCCATGTTTCACAGCCATAAAGTAGGACGGGACGAACTACTGCACAGTACACTCGTCCTTTAGTCAGCAAACAGGGATCTCGCCTTCGCTATAAGTGACGTAGGTTGGCGAAAGCCAATCGAGCTTTCTGCTGAGATTTCGTCAGTCACCAGACCATCAGCACTGATGAGACTCCCTAGATAAGAGAAGCAGTCAACCCGCTCAACTAACTCACTCCGTATCACTAGTTCAGGTGCCGACGCAATCCAATCCTGAAGCAACATTTTGCATTTCGAAGGTGAGGACATGTTCCTATATATATGTAATTTAGTACGGGGTTTCAGGAGACCGGGAATAATGTTTCGTGAGCTCATACTGTTTGTTTCAGTGGCGTGAGGTGATAAACGATCGAAAGACGGGGTTGGTCGAGGAGATAAGAGATTTATTAAGAGGTGTAGAAAGGATTTGATTGTGAGCGATTTGGTCTCTTGTGCTGTTACGGGTGTGAGGGCGATTGTCACTTCCCGGCTGCCCACACTGTGGAAACACCTTACTGCTGTCACACCTCTATGCAGTCAGCAGTACGACTTCGCCCCCAGACCTTGAGTAGCTGCTTTTAGTCTCATCGTTCTCCAGTCAACCTACCTGGCACGATAGAATCTTTAGGAACATAAGTTCTAGCCAATATAGCTCCGCTTGGTCATCACGATAGGCAAGCCCGAATACCATGTCAAGGTGGCAGCTGCGGTCGGGTATTTATTAATTATCTGACATTAAATATTTTATTCTTTTTCTAATACTTTTAATACCGCTACCACTATTCGATTTGAACTGACTGTTGCGTCTCTGTGCTAATGCAGTATGGCAACCAGAACTGATGTACGTCCTTAAGAAGTTCTAAGTTGTAACTGACTGACTGACTGGCTGAATAAAAATAACGTCATATACTTGTGTGAGACTGTTCGATGAAGTTAGCAAATTTTATAGTAATTGGATTGCCTACTACTCAATTCTCTTTTAATAATCGATACATGCATTTCTCTTTTTAAATCAGTTCCTATAGTGACGAATCGTTTGTGTGTCAGTTTTGTTTATTTTTTAACTTCCTAATTTTAAACCATTCACCAAACCCTTATATTGACTGTTGAACAAATTATTTGTTAAAAAACATCATATTGATGCACATATTCTCAAGTAAACGAAACTAGAAATAAACATCAAAGTTCATTAAGGCTATCTGTTTAAATCGAAGCAAATGCTTACATATAACTTAACCTCCAAGAATGATAGGAAATAAAGTTATCAATTGCCAGATAATCTGATCTGCAACGTTTCCAATGTTTCACAAATGGGTCGTATTCAACACTGAGCTGTTTGACTATTTAGTGGGTGAATGTTGTACATTAAAGTACGTATTTCACTAAGAATCTTAATTTAATCGTATAAAGTTAAGTCAATAACTATTGACTTGGAACATTTCAGCGTGACGCTTCTCCACATCGCAGATAGAAAACATAAATATATTGAATTGTTAGCGTTTGAAATGGTTTCTTAAATAAATGAATTTAAAAAAAAAAACACTGTGGTTCGCAACGGTCAGCCCCTAAAAAAAAAATAGAAAAATCTATCGAAAAAATGAAAACATTTTGGATAATAGCGACCCTGAATCATCCTTTAACAATCAGTACTTAGTTAATTTACAGTAAGAATATCTTCCTCATTCAAATAATTCATAAACTAGAAAAAAGTAATCGGCATCATAATACTTCTAGCTGACTAGTTCTATCTAAATCAGACGAACTATGAGTTTTACATTCTACTTACTGCTGGTGACTATTTTTTGTTGTCTTCAATCTAAATAAAATTCTAATTTACGTACTGAATTTAATGAGTAATGCTATAGCAAAACAAGGTATCTCTTAATTGATGACATAATTGATGTCTATTTAAAATCTCCGTAATAATAGTGTGAACCAATTAGAAAATTCATTAATTATAGTTAACATGTTGGGTTATTCTTATTTCTCAACTTGAAACCAAATTTTGTTTATTCATTATTATATTACCTAACTGAATATTTACTTTCTAATACTTGATGTAATTGTTATTTTTAATAAAAATATACTTGTAAAAGGATATGGTAAGTGCATGAACTGTTCCATTTACGTACATATATATACACACATATATATATGAATATACATATAAAAATAAAGTGTATTTACTAATAAATATAAGTTTTACATAAAACAGTAAACATATTTTGACATCATTCAATGATAAGATGTAGATTTATTTATTATCAACCCTGTGTGAGTGTGTGTGTGTGAATTCCCGTCATATTATATACTGATTACTGTGCAACTTATGTGCTCGTGTTTTTATTATAATTGGTGCGTTTACTAATTATCCTACTGAACAGATTGAAATAGCTGCTTGAATCTTAGATTTCCACTTATTATTATGAAGCATTTTAATCTTGAAAAGATTTTCGATCCTCCATGTGTATATATTTTCCTGATGAAACTATGTCCAACATATTTTTACTTTATATATATATATATATATATACTATCGTATGTTTCCTTTCCTACTCATGACTATGTATGCCAATATATATGTAGATTATATCCCTTCATTCATATATAATAAATTTTAGTGTAGTTTGTTTGTAGGTCATTGTGATTTAACAAGATGCAGCATCATTGTTCAACAAAAAAACTATAAAATACCTCTCATTATCCTTTTTTTCTTCTTCTTGCACCAATAACTTTTAACTAACCTCCTCAAGTGTACTTGTTAAACTGCCTGAAATTATGCACGTTTTTTTATACACATTCATATATACTTATATATCTACATCTTACACCGCGAATTAGAATCATATTTTATTGATTTATATAATGACCGTTTAGTGAAAAAAGACTGTTTTTCATTTGTTTCAGTCTCGACAGCGCGATTTTTATCTTTAGTCGTCATATATCATCAATCCACTTTTTTGGTACGCCAGGAGAGTGGTACACTGTCTAGTTGTATGTAACCCAGAATTTCAACAGTAAACATTAATTTTTATTGATTCGTTGTTCTTCTTCCCTAAATAAGGAAAGTAGTTATAATTCAAATAGTGAGATTACCTTAATTTGAATGACTCAAATATACTTCTAGTAGAGATAGCAGTCTGTCAGTCATTGTGACTATCACATATCGTTTGATGAAAAATCGATGATTATATTCCTTACTGTCAATTTCATCCATTTTCTGTTGAAAAACTGCTTATTTCTTAAACGTTTCAAAATGTTTACTGTTCTGTTCATTAAATACATCTATTGTGTTGATTATCATACTGCTATCCAAAGAATACTTATATTAAATCAACTGTATAGTCTAAAATTGCTGTGTTAACATCTCATCTACATCTGGACCTGACCTTAGGCACCCTGTGAAAACCTGGAAGACAATAGGCAAATCTCTTTTCTTGGTAGGAGAGCCATCAGCAACGAACATTCATGATGTTACCGGTGATCGGACCTAGGACATTCAGGTCCAGTGATGAGCACTCAACCATTAAATCTGCCTCCACTGGCTTATACTTCTAATTTTGATCATTTCATGATACTGAGAAACCATGATTGAATACCATTGAATGGGCAACAGCCTCACAGTTGATATGAGCGAAATCCGATGGTTAAGTGTTTTCCCTTATTGAGTCATGAATTCACAATGCTGAAACGTCCCATAACAGGACAAAACAGTTGTACAGGGATTCCTAAGCTTCATTGGTTGTCTAACTATGATCAATTCGTGATATGTTCCCTAAAATTAAACCATTTCTACAAACTTTACATGCTGTGACTAAATGTTTTAAAAGTGATCATTTTTTCTAAACTAAACTGGTTCACTACTAAGTTTTTATACCAAGTCACATAATGTTATTTAAATAAGGTAAAGTTAATACTCTTACAGGTTATTTTATACTTACTATACTATTTTTATTATTCAACAGTGAATAATCCAGTCAATATAATTGGCAATTTTTAAATACAATTAAGCTCATGCAATGAATTATTACTTGGAGTTGTTCAGTTTAAAATGTTAATTTACACATCCTGCATGATATCATAACGAGATTCAGAAAGATCAATTTATCTTTCACTGTCTTTATACTTCAATGTTCCGTAAAATATCACAATCAGAGATTAGCGAATTGTTTTTATTTTCGGTTCAACTTTTAAATATTCGATTCAATTCATAAAGTGAAGTTTAATTCATTGATAATGGTAGATGATTGTTAATTCAAGTTGCGATGGATCAGTCTCACTTGGCGTATTTGCATCCTGCATTCAAATCACCAATACAATTGTATGATATAACATGTTAGCTTTTCAAGATAGTTTTTTTCTCTCACTTAAGTGCTACATATTTGTATGTATGTGTTTGTGTGTTGAATTCGTTTCTAATTTCAACCTTTGCTGTTGATTGTTGTTTCCATGAGAAACTCATGAGATTCGCACAATTGAGGAATTAACCATTTAATTCATAGTAGTATATATACATATAGAATAAATCTTAAAAGGTTCATCCAACAATATCTTTGGGACAAAAAGAAAATTGATAAAACACATTTTTTTTAAACATTACTCATTTGATTGTTATTTCAATTTCGTACTCTTTGTTTATCTCGTTTTGTCTTGGATTCAATGATAATTTTACCGTGTGTGTCGTGTGTGTGTGTGTGTGTGTTCATATGAAAATTTTTACAATGTTTGGTTTTTTTCACATTTCGTTAAATAATTGTCTAACTCAAAGCAACAACAGCATTGTCTACAAATACGGTCGATTTGAAAATTATTATCACTGTTTTTTTTTCTCATAATTTTAATGAGCTTATTTTCTTATTCAAACTTTTTGTTTAAAATTGATGATGAATAGTTTTATATAGTAGTGGTTGAATGTTTAACCTTAAAAAAAATGAACACGTAATATTCTCAGATTATGATAATGAAACTGAGGCGTTTTCTGTTGTTTTTTTTGTGAACCAGTTTTGTTCTTTTTCGTCATTTATCGGATATCTGCTGTTGCTTACCTCAAAATAACAATTCATTATTTCAATAAGTATTCAAATAACTAGATTATAAACAGTTTGATCTCATTTCTTTCAAAAGCTTACCGTAACATCTCTGAGTGTGTAGCTGGATGATATGAGGTCGAATTCATCATGGAGCATCAGTTCCATCTGATTTACAGGCACATGTTACTGCTGACGAGTTCCAACTAACACGAAACCTAAATCAGACAGGATTTCCTGTTGATTAGTTGTTTTTAATGATGCATTGACATGTTGATTCGTTAACTGTCATTTAATTGCATCAACAACATTGCATTAATATTAATTCCATCGTCATCAACGGCTTTGTTTGTTTACATTTTAAATTTTACACCGTCATCACTTGTGACTAGGATTTTGTTTTTAACAAACGTTTACAGGTGGTCAGTATTTTTCACAGAATATTTTTCTATTTGAATCTCTTTGTATAATTTCTATTTCCTAATTTGTAATTTTGATACGTTTTCTCCCATCTAGTAGCATAACTTTGTTAATCCCTTAATATTCTTCAGCAGTTCATTAATCTGTTCATTTGATATTACATAACCCTACCTTCTTTTTGACTGCCCTTACACCGATTAGTTCCCCCTCCCTATATTATAAACTAATATATTTATGTATTATGTATGGACGACTGAAAACTATTGTTTGGTAGATTGTGTGTGCATTTATATAGCTGTTAACAACTTGGAGATGATATTGATACCATTAGTTTACTTTATTTAGAAACAAGAGGTGGCTGTGAAAAAAATTGAAGTTTTGGATATGAAACGTTCAAATGCAATAAATATTGGTTTAAAAGTTTTACCACCACCGCGTACAATCAGTTCTGCCATTTTAAAAATGGATCATTCAATTATAAATAGAGAAGGCATCGAGGTAAATCTAATTTGCATTTATTATATGTCTTTTTCTATCAGTTTTTCTTTGTTGCAGTTAAAAAAAAAGTTAACTGCTTCATTTGTCATTATAGAGTAGTAGGAATTGTTGAATTTCACTGAATTCATGAATCTATCAATGTTGGACAACCTGCAAGCACTATACAGCCGTTTTGTTCTAGTATGGGACTCAGCAGTACTGTGTATCCACACCCTCACATACTGGAATTAGGAACCAGGACCTATGGTCTCACTTGAAAACACTTAACCTTTAGATAAATGAACCAGCATCCACTAGTGTTAACGTATACTTTGATGTTTAAACTTTTCTGTATGAAATATTTGCGAAAATTTCAAAATAACGATGTGCTACAATGTTAGTTCAAACTAATTATTGTACTCAGTTGACAAAGCATGAAAAACTCTCTATGATATTTCATTCATTTCAAAATAATCTACTTTACTAATTAATGTTTCATATTTGAAAGTATCTAACCGTAAAACGTCTTATCTCTTCCAGCTTTAATGTAGTTCAATTTTAACTAATACCATTCAGTTATATTACTGCAAAATAAATGTCTAATCTTTGAAACGTGATTACGAGTATGGAGTTTATTTCATCGTCTTAGCTAATTAATTAAATATGATTATTTGAGTATTAAGAAAACTAGACAATATACTAGTGGTTACCTTTTAATTAACAGTTAACATGCCTAAAAATGACGTAGGTTCAGTGATCTTTGTTTAGACAGCCTCAACTTTCTTCTAACTCTTTATTGTATGCCACAAAAATTAACATTTTCCGGTTTACTGATTTCAAGTGACTTTTATCTATTTGGGATTTACTGATTATTATTATTGATCGATAGAAATGAATGAACTCGATGAATAATCTTTCACCACTTAAGTAAGCTAAATAGTATGTTAGTAAACATATGATACTGCACAAACGATAATTATACTTCTTTGATTGGTCAAGTACATAGTAGTGTAAAATTATCTTAAGCTACATTTTTCAATTTCATCATCTTAAACAATTTTCTCTTAACCATAGGTTTTACAGGAATAGTAGTCGTCTGCCTTGGGATTCAATTTTACCTACCACTTATTATTATTATTATTATTATTCCTAGAAACTTTTAACAACAATGCTACCAACAGATGAAGAATGTGAAGCTATAATGAAAGCGAAAGCCGAACAAGATGGTTTACCACTTGGTCAAGCTGAACAATTTCTTGTTACATTGTCAGCAATAAGCCATTTAAAGCCCCGTTTAGAATTATGGTTATTCAAATTGGATTATGAACAGAATGAAAAAGAAATAGCAGAGCCGTTAAATGATTTAAAACAGGTAATTTTGATCTAATTTTACCTGTATGGACTAGAATATATCTTCAAATTTTCAATGCATTTCTCTCTTTATTTATTTATTTGATCAATTTGAACTGAACAGTGTTTTAATTATCCGAGAGGAAACAATCTATGATAAAAATTTTCAGTGCTGCGGTGTTACATGGAGGATGACATTAGAAATTGACGCTCCTGCTTCCATGGGAAAGAGTGTATACCTCATCTTAATCAAAAAATATACACCACTGCGCTGTATCGATTAGCTTCTCAGCTTTCAAGATGTGTGTAGGTTGACATTTTTCAAATGAGATCTAGTCAACCGGTTTTTCTAGTCACTGTTGAATAAAAACTCGGAAAATAATTTAAATTCATGCTAAATTAGAAATTTTTTAAAGGTTGTAAACTTGTATTAACTTGAAATTTAATATTAGAATAGTTCTTCTGCATTATATCCTATAAGTTTAAAGTCAGCATGTGATGATAATAATAACTGCGTATGATCGAATCGTAAAAATTTATGTCGAACTATGAAGCCACAAAATTTCAATTTGATCGCCATGAGCTTCATAGAATAGGTGGATTACAGCTGGCAATAGAATCCAGAACGTTTGTTTTGACCTGTTTGAGACTTGTCAACTGAACATACCTGAATCCCAGTGTTGGTGTTTACATTCTAACTTGCATCGGGTCCCAGTTCATAGAATTCGACTTCAGTTCCCCAGTGCTTGTAAGCTTCAAATGGTTCCCTAATAATTAAATATGTATGCTTGACATGATGATTCATATATTCTTGTATGATACAATATAGAAAGCTAACTTGAATAATAGTTTACTAACCTATTATTTTCCTTCTACCCTCGATTCTTTTCCTCACCAGGCTGTGATAGAAATTATCAATTGTAAAACTTTACGATATATTCTATCTGTTCTTTTGTCAATTGGGAATTTTTTAAATGGGTCAACTGCTAGAGGATTTACTCTGGATTATCTAGGTCGATTACCTGAAGTGAAAGATACAAAATATAAGAATAGTTTGTTGCATCATGTATGCTCTATAGTGTTAGATCAATTTCCTGATAGTACAGGTAAGCCAATCCCATATTAATGTATTTAAACATGATTGTTCATTAATAAACTTTTCATAATTAATACCCTGTCTCAGATAAATGTTGTTACCAACACTCATCTGTCATCAAGTAAGGTAACCCGTATTATATGGTATAATCCTTAGTATCGATGTAGTTCTGTCGATCGAGCCAACAATTTGATTATCAAGTTAGTAACTTGACATTACGATCTTAGATGCTTAAAGGTGATTTATAGAGAACCCTGGTTGTAAGCTCTATGCTGGTCGCCCATTACATAATTTTCGTATCTGTAATCTCGATAAAGTTGATGTTCCTCCGGAAGTGTAAATCAGCTTATTCGGTACCATAGTTGAAGACGGTGTCACTAAGAAATGAAATTTAAAAACTACAGTAAAGTAGTCGACGCTAAGTTTTGACTTTAAGCATGTAGAAAATTATTCTCCAGCCTAATAGCACATTCGAATACGAGTATAGAGAGATTCAGTCAGACACTTGATTGGTTTTATTAGTGGACCATAGGCTGGATTAAAGCATGATTGCGTTGTTGACGATGACTGGCTCTTTCGTATCCAATCAGCGCTAGCCGATACTGAGGAAACATTCTAGAATCTTCCCATGTACGAAAACTATGGAGATACTAACTTCTTTTTCCTTTGAAACTTCTGTCTTCTCCCTAACCTTGTTATTGGAATATAACCTATCTCATGTTCTGATTTTGGGAGGTGTCGAGTGAATTGGTGTCCGAGAGTACTAAACATTAGCAATAGCCCGGTTGTAATAAAGAGAGAATTATAACAAGCTTTGACAAACTTGTTTCCTATATTGCATTTTTTTAGCATAAAGATATGTACAAAGAGTTGACCTCATAGATAAAAATACGATTCTTGAATTTTCGCAGTATTGGTAGTCCAGGTTGCAACAGACTAGATAAATTTTTTCCCTCAATGTTGGCCCCGAGAATGTACGTAACTTAGTGACCAATTGGTAAACAAACAAACATAAATTTTCTCAGATGGCTTATTGATTAAACATATACCGACATCAATTGGAAAATTGATGATGAATATTGAACAAGTGGTTCAGTTGTCCAATTGGAATATGTCGATGACATGATTTTATTTATTGAATACGATGACAAAATCTGTAGTCTGCGGCAGTTTGCTTTGTCCTAATTTTTGGATGTGAAACATGGTCATTAGGAAATAGGGATACTCGTATGTTTCTAGTATTCAATCATTTACTAAACAGTTGACTCTCTTTAGAAGCTGAACTTACTTACGCCTGTTACCCCCAATCGAGCATAGGCTGCCGACCAGTATTCTCCAAACTATTCTGTCCTGGGCTTCCATTTCCAGTTCTGTCTAACTGTTATCCATTCTTCTCGTGTCTGCCTCAGTTTATTGGCCTTCCTCTTTTTCTTTGACCTTGAGGGTTCCAAGTGAGGGCTTGTCTTGTGACGCAGTTGGGTGCTTTTCGTAGTGTGTCCTATCCACTTCCACCGCTTCTTCCTGATTTCTTCCTCCGCTAGAATCTGGTTTGTTCTCTCCCACATTGGACTGTTGCTGACAGTGTCTGGCTAACGGATATGAAGTATTTTGCTTAGACAACTGTTCATAAATACTTGTATCTTCTGGATGATGGCTTTCGTAGTTTTCCCAGTTTCCGCCTCATACAGTAGAACTGTCATAAAAATTAAGTGAAGATTGATAGTTGTGAAAACGGCTTGAACATGAACAACCTAATATAATAACTTTTTTTGGTTGAATGAAGGAAGAAGTAATTCGTTTTTAAGATATCGCATTAATAGAGTTAAAAAGGCGGGGAAGGTTGATGGTTTTGAAAGACTAAGAGTCAGAACTATGACTGAATTAAAGATTGAATAAGTTTGTATGAACTAGTTTTAAATTTTAAAAAAGGAGAATTTTATCTACTACTCATAACTTCCTTTCGAAATAACATCTTTATATATCTTTTTGCAGATTTACATTCAGAATTGGGAGCATTGTGTCGTTGCCATCGAGTTGATTGGGATGAATTACCGAGACGTTTGGAGAAACTAGAAACGGATAGTAAACGAGCTTGGGAACATTATCGATTGATATTTAGTTCTGAAAAAGAATCAAATAAAAATATCAAGTAAATTTATTTCCATTGATTATTTACTCGTGTTTGTGTGCTTTTACGTAAATTTATAAAATATATTTTGAAAAAATTCATGGTTAGATTTATTGTCGAATGCTACCCAAGAAGTAGTTTATTGTCATGGTTACTGATTTTGTGCTGGGAATCTCACTACATACTTATTTACGCTTGAAGCACCGGACGCTAATCAGGATTCTCCAACCACTTCTATCCTGTACGCTTCTTTCCACTTGTTCGCAGGTGCTAATTCATACTTTTGAAATCTGCCTCATATTTATGACTGTGTCTCTTTGGTTTACCTCTCCTCCTTTTGCCTTGAGGATTCCAAGGGTACGGCTTGGTTTGTGATGAAGTTTCATGATTTCCTCAACGTGTGTGTCCTATTCATTCACAGAGTCCTTTCCTAGTTTCCTCTTCAACTGGAAATTGGTTTGTTCTCTGTAAACGGTTCTGGAGTATCTTGCTTAAAAAACTGTTTATAAATACCTGCACCTTCATACTAAACGTATTAGACTGAATAAAACAGTCATTATCGTTATTATTATTATTATTATTATTATTATTATTATTATTATTATTATGATAACAAATCGAGGTCGTTATTATCCATGTCTTTTATGGAAGTGACAGGGAAAGAATCAGGCTTAACATTTCAGGTCCTAATTAAACAGATAACGCAATATAAAACTGATTTTCTCAAATCAACTATAATATTTAGTAACGTTTGTTTCGCCGAGAATCCCATTACTACTCATTCGGTTTCTTTTTCTAGAAACAGAAAAAAACACCGACATCTATGTCTTGTTTTTTTGAAACCTTCTTTGATCTATTAGTCCATTAACTATGACTTTTGATTAGCTTAATTAATGGATGATTTTTTTAAAAAAAAACTTTTAATCTGTATGTAATTCACAGTTGAGAAATGTAGGTTTTGTTAAAAATAAGAAGATTAATTGGAGCTCTCTCTATACTGGCATTTCATGAATGATTCATTCATTAGCCTGTGTTTGTTTGTTTGTGTGTGTGTGTGCGCGCATATATATTCATATTTAACAATGATGCTTTGTTTAAGAGACAACAGCTTAATTGCGAGGATTTGAAGGAGGATAGAAACATACACATAGAGCATGAAGGATTGAGAATGATTGTGTATTTTTTTTTTAGAAAAAATTACTATTGAATACACGTTTAATGCTTTGTAATAATAATCAATAAATCGCTTATTATTTTGTTGCTCAATTAAAAATAAAAAAACAAAAATTAAAATGAAATTATGTGAAAAACTGCATTATTCTTCTTGTATACTCAATCCATTCACATGAATTCTATACAATGTCTTGGTTTTTTTTGAGCAGAAAGTAATAAAAAGTTCAGGCATGAATATATAATTATAATTCAAAGTATGTGTCTCATGATTGCATCATCACACATGAAACAGTATAGTGAATGAAGTTATTTTGTTTCATTGTAATTTGCACACATGCAATAAACAGATTACTTTGTGCTAAGCAGGGGAATATCACTGGTTATTAATAATTAGTCATAAGTTATTTTGAAAAACAAAGTAGACAAATGTACATCTCAAAGATTTCGGTTTCTCGTCAAACAGATTTTTTTTTAAAAAATGCAAGCAATTAACTATTTGGCACAGATATCTATCAGGTTAAAATTGCAAAACATGCAATCACCCCAAATGTGAATTAATCATAATAATTAAAAAAAAAACTAAATCCTGGAGTTATGGTGAAAAACAAGAGAATGGAATTGAGACATTGAACATAAAAGACATAATGGTATGTACAAGTTATGTGATGCACTTCTTACACCAACTGGGATGAATGCGAGCACGCAGAGAATGTCTTTTCTAAATGAAGAGGAGGTTGCTAGGCTGAACAATCGCACACAGACCATTTATTGTTGCAAAGCCAAATGATTTTCATGCTTTCACAAATAAATAATGAGCAGTTATACATATGTCCGAGTGTTCCCATACTTACCGTGAATGAATGTGTGTAACCTCATCTGGCCGTTCTCTTATGGAATATCTAGAGAGGAATTCGCCTCTTTATGTCACCGTTCCATAATTTCCAACTGTGTATGAAAAATGTCTGGCATAATTCAATGTTTTTTTCATTTTTAGGCTTTCTGAATTTCTTACTGATGCTATAGAACGAGTAATTTGCTTACAAATGGTTCATCGACGCATGTCGGCCAGGTAACCAACTAATTAATCCCTCTAATCGAAATATTTTCTCAAATTTCTGTTATTATTCTTAAATTTTTTATTTCAACCCCTTAATAATAGCACTCTTCATTCAACTGCGAGTAGACATGATGTCGGATATATATATATATATATATATATATATATAAGAATTATGTAACAGTCAGTCATTGAGTTATGGTGTAGGCTAACTATGATTAATAATAAATTCAATGTTAACCTGTATGCTACCCTGTATAACTTGTTAATCAAGACTCCAACACTGAAAATCCTTTGTTAATAATAATAATAATAATCCAAAACGCTATGCGAATACGATATTATTAACATCATATAGTACTCGATTATCACCAAACTTGACATCTGTTAGTTAACTGTACTAAGAAAAAGTTTATGACTATTGCACAGGTTTTATCTTATCTACATAATAGTTTAACATCTGCATACCTATACTTTTTTCACTGATAATCATACAATAGACAATTGTAAGATGATGATGCTTAGGCGAAATTAATAAAATAGTTATTTAAAAATTAAAGCTGGAAAAACAAATTAAGTTGACTGTAAACATTATTTATTTCTCTTTACTGATGAGTAAGTTTCGAAGTACAGAATATGACTGTGATTACAATTTTCATTGATTTCTTCTATCTTCAGATTCCGACATACACTGGAATATCTTGGTTACAGTCCAGCTAGAGCATCCAGTACTTCAGTTGGTTACTTTTGTCGAATTCTAGCTGAATTTGCTTTGGAATATAGAACGACTCGAGAGAAAATCATTGAGGGACGAGAGAAAAAAGCTTTAGCACGAGAACGCAAACGCACAAGAGGAAAATTAATTGTAGATGTAAGCAATGATTTTTCATTGATAGTATTCTCAAAATTCTAATAAGGAACTGGGACTAGTGAAGATACAGAAGATCATGTCGGATGTGAGACCATAGTATCAATAATAACAGTGAATGATGGTCTCATAATATTATAAATTAAATGAGATTAGAAATGTAAATCATAGAATACCACCTCAGTCGTCTGAACCTCAAGTACTCGCTGCCCGCTACCGAGAACTCCCATAGTAGGATGAAATAGTTGTCTTTTCCTGGTTTTTCGTAGTTAGTGGCCACAGTAATACAATGATATATATATAGCCTTCTGAGATTTTAACGTGATACAACCTTTACAAACTAATCAAATCGCGTCAATGAAATGATGGAAAGAGAATCTTTGTAGCCCGGTTGAATATTCCGTTATGTTTTCTTAGCTGAATGATTTGATTGTGAAATTTTCGTTGTCATTGTGGACAACATCGTCAACATAATTTTAGGAAGCCTTACAACTAAATGAGGCAAGTAAAAGAACCCCTTCACTACTATTATATTAATGTTTGTAAAGATTTCAGTGAATCCTATACTGTTGTATAATTGAAACAATTCTATTTACAAACTAAAATTTCGAGAATAATTATAGCAAAATTGAACTGAGTAAAGCAAATATGATCTAGCTAATAACTCGATCGAAATTTTCGGTCTACATTACTCTGGGATTCGAAATGAACATCAACTCTGTAATACAGGTACATTCAGCCAATGCATTTGAATTAATTGTAAATTAGTTTACAGTAAATTGCAAAATTACATGCAATTATTAGTTGTCAATAGGTTTCTGTCTAATGGATGATCACTTGTCAAATGTTAATGTTAACAGTAAATTTTATCTTACAATAAGACATAGTGTCATATAATGAAAGCGGGGAAACATTTGTCCATAAATAAAGTGTTCACAACAGTAACACTAGTGAAATACAATGCCTTCCTTGTTTTAAGATTCATTCATGCATACTGTCATAATATTTCCAGCTTAACACTATAATGGAATTACAATCGGAAGTTGTTCAAGAGCAAACTGTAAGCAAACTCATCATAACCGATAATCCACTCATAACTGTGTATATAATTGTCTCATTAGTTGTCGCATTATTTATAGACTAATAATAATATTCAAGCTTTTTCTGTTTAACAATTTTTCACTATTTAATGTGTTTATTTGCTGATTAATTCATATTTATGTTATTATTATTATTATTTATTTTCTCATTCTAACGCAACAGTAATCTAAGATATATTTAATATATGCCATCACATAACCTTGAGGTCTTAACCTGTTTTAGCCAATTAGGCGTTATGAAAGCTAAATGAGTGACTTTCTTTCTATGCTCGCACATTGGATTAGGATATACACTTTTAGGAGTCTTACCCGACAGTTTAAGTCAGTTTCTAATAAAAACACTAATCCTAACTGCTAACCCTATTTTTTTTTATTTATTTTGCAATCGTTTTCTCAATTCCCTAATCTGTTCAGTAATATACTTTGGATATAACTAATATTTACTGTTTCATTTTCTGAATATTCTGTAATAAGTTCTTATCATCATGCTTGAATTGCGAACATTACAATTTAAAGAAAACTGTTTGATATTGTGAAAGCGTTGGATTGATCGTTCATTTCAATTTAGTACTATTTATCAGTTTATTTAAACTAAATCGAACCCGAAATGTTTAAATGCTGCTACTTTCATGTATCATATTTTTTTAAGGCCACTGAACAGAAATTCCTCATAATCCATAGCATTAAAGTTATATTCTCTTATTATTATTATTCACTAAATTGAAGTAGTGATTTTCATTATTTTGGCCGAAACTTAAATAATCAATAACTAAATTTTAGAATCGGAACTGTTAGGGTCTTACAATGTTGGCGGTAAGAGTTTTAACCGAAATCTTTAATCTCATGTATAATCAAGATTGTGTAAACTTTTGAGAATCATCTATACAAATATACATATATATATTGTAAAAATTGATTACTACTGATGAGTAGAAAAAAAACACTGATCTGTTTGATTGTTACAGCGTAAACCATGATTTTCTTTATGTTAAATACCTTAATTTCAATGAATTTACAACAACAATTGAATTATTATCTATTGCACTGAATGTTATGTAATTTTGTTTAATTTGTCGTCATTTTTTCATTGCTATTTGAATTCAATTGCATTACATAGTAGGAGTAGTACATTGCAAGGCATACTTAATACCTTGATAAATAAAAAAAATATGTTGAATTGTAAATTAATCAAGTGTGAATTATTATTTTTTTTCTTTTAACTAATCACACTACCAGTAATATTTTTCTAACCACATTAAAATTACAATAAAAAAAGTTTAATTTGATTATGTCACAGTAAAATATTTCAATATTTTGTTCATTTAAGTTTAAAAATCAATTACTGTATTTGTCTTGATTGTGTATATTCTCGAATCCATTCCTGAAGGTTTCCGGTCTACGAAATACACCGAATGATCTAGTCCAGTCGAAAGATGATGCAGAACTTCGTGATTTATTACTCAAACCTTCCAATGAAACCGATTCCGATGCATCGTCATTTACAGCGACTATTAGACGACGTCTCCATACTCCTGGACCAGGTGGGTATATGTGTGAGAACTTGATAAACAATACTTTAATTGATTAGTTTACATTGTATTTATTCGCTGGAAATTTTTGCTACCAACTCTTTGAATTTTTCTGCCTTGCATAAATCTGTTAAGTTTGTCTGAATATTTGGACGGTACTTAGTTTTCTTCTTTTTGTTTTACACTATTGATTGTTCAACTTTTTAATCAATCACTTAATCTCTTATCTGTATTCCTTTCTATCATTTCTTTCATTGATAACGATAAGGATTTAATTATCAGGCCTGTTACTTGTATGAGAACATTGTTTACTGAAATGATGATGGCGAAGATTTATAGCATAGGTGCATACTTTTGATGGAATCTGTCATTATCGATCAGGATAGGATCATCGAAACCTTTTGAAACGCTTGACCATTCACATGGTCAGATATCAAGTAGAAATGATAATTATTCGGAATAAAAGATTAAATAAAGACAACCTATAATAGAGGAGGCTATCAGAACGAATTGATCTAATACTTATAAACTCATCGAGAAAAGCTCACTTCTGCGTGAACTGCACGCTAATGGTGTTGTTCAGTATGCCGATGTAAACTTCATCCAGCTCACAGAACATATCATTATCGTCGATAATACTTCTTATTATATGAAATTCATAAATAAACAGAATTGGTGTCTATTAAGTATATGTATTACAAATCTATTGTATCAACTTTCCTTTAAAACAATCTTTACAAGCCTCTTTGTTTCATGAAAAATTGTCTTTAAATATAACTTTGTGTAAAAAACTCTGGTAGTATGATTGTCTTAAGTCATATTTCAATTTTTAACTACATGATAGTCTTATTCAGAAAAGATCAGTTAACGAAAGTGATGATTTGTACAAAACGCATTAATATCTTTTTTGCTTATGCTAGAGCACTTCATAGTTTTAGGTCATATTCATCACGGACTGATCTCAGTTGGGCTACTTTTAAAAATCAGATAGCATTAGACAACTGTTTCGCTCTACAATATGGCTCCTCACCATTGCGCATCTGTGACCGCATATCCTACGACATTGGTGATACTCTCACACAAAATGAGGCTGCTACCAAGTAAGATCAGCCCATGATGAATATTATTACTATAGAACATATGATTACTACCCGTTATTTCTTTGCCTGTTTTAGAATATATATATATATATATATATATATATATATATATATATTACGCCTTTTCTTTACTCTCAATTTAATAAATAATCAGCTCCCAGAAGATTAGCAGCTCCAAATCGTGGACGAAGTCCAGGTTTATTATGTGAAACATCAGATGCATCAATGGAAGCATTAGATCAAGAACAAGATATCCTCTTAGATGCTTGTCTACGTGCAAGTACACCGTCTGTTAATTCACATGGTGTGTCAGGACGACGAGTTCCACCGAAAGATCGTAGAAGACCTACAGACCGTTCAAGATTTTCAGGTATGTTTAAGAAAGTAGATATAAGCAAACACCATTGTTTTCAATCTAGATTTGCATCATGCATCAGTATATGTAGTTAGTGTTTACATGCCTAATATGAGAAATATTAAATCTGATTCATGGCAATTTGCGATAACAATGTGATAACAATGAAACACAACTATTCATACTAAGTGGGTATATTGGTTGGTGGTAGTTGAACGAACATGCGATGACGTGAACAAATATTTCGACAAAAAAGAAATGCCAAAACAAGAAGTCACTTAAAATTACGTAATATTACGAGGGTGAATATTCATTCTAAGTATGTATGCAGTAAAGAAAAAATATAAAGGAACTGAAGCGAATCACAAACAAAGTATCGAATTAGCTACTAGGGCGTGTTAATCAGATTTTTAACGAATTATGTAAAGACCAAGATTGTTAACCTACTCAATAAAAGTATATCTTGAAGAGTTATAGGAGTAATTTATAATCCATGATGAAGTTAGTTAAGTTTATTATTCAGAGAAATTTACCCCAAATATATTGCTTATGAACTAAAACTAAACATGTTTTCTATTGGATTCCAATTGAATGACTGCATGGTGTCTCATTACCTCTGTTTGATTTGATGTTGGCATTATGAAATTTTACCTGGCTGAGCTGCTATACACCATAACCATTCACCCAACCCAACTATATGGTAGAAGAAGATTGAATCTCTATTGAAATTTGTATTATCAAGTAAAATAATACAACTGACGCATATCCATAGATTGTCAGACTGGCCCAGACAACAACACTCAGGTGACAACTTCAGCCAGGGGAATAACCTCGCCAGTACTTATATTTGACTTAACTTCCTTCGATCCTTAATAAAAAATCACTTTTTATTCTATTACCAATATTCTTGACTAAATTTTAGTCTGTCTTAGTTGACATCTTTTCATCCTGTATGGATTGCCATCATGTTTACAAGCATCAACACTTATAATCCTTCGTCCTGGTATGGGACTCCTCAGCAGTGCGCATCCACGACTCCTGCACCCCGCAGGATTCGAACCCAGGACCTTCGGTATTGTAGGCGAACGCCTAACCATCGGACCACTGAGCCGGTATCTAACGGTGTTAATGTCTAACTTGATCAATTCACGGAGTTGCGCAACCTCAATTCATGGTTTCAAAAATGTGTAACTTAACAATCTTCACAACCCCGTAATGCAAATTACCTGTGCTTACTAGTGACTAGCTTCGTGAGGAATCTTCTCCGAGTTCTAGTGAGAATACGTGACCAGTGAAGTTCAACCTGTTCGGGTGTAGGCAGTGTCTACCGAAGACTGTGTATGAGGTTGCGCAACTCCGTGAATTGATCAAGTTAGACATTAACACCGTTAGATACCGGCTCAGTGGTCCGATGGTTAGGCGTTCGCCTACAATACTTATAAACTTGACACAAATTACATATTTCTAGTATGTTTTTTTTTTAAAAATCATTTGTCATTCCTCTTAATTGTTCATCATTGTCATCTACTAATTATGTTTGTTTTTTTTCTATTCCGCTCATTTTTCTCTGCAGTTTTACAGTGCGTTTTGTTCTCTTCTTTGGTTATGCTTGTTTTGTAAACATTGAATTTTGTACATGATGTAGTTTTGTTGACAATGAATGATACTCAGTGTGTGTGTGTGTGCATTTGTGTATGCATGTGCTTATGCTCACATGTTTTTGCTCGTATGCAAAGCTATTAAGCAATAACAATACGGATTGCAATTCAATAATGTTTTTTCTAAACAATGTGAATGACTTGATTATTTCACTTGAGATTTTGTTTTGTCCTCAAATTAGTGTAAATAATGCTTGCATTCAATATATTGTTGCCGAATATATATATATATATATATATATATATATATATTGAATGTAGCTTTAAAAAAGTCAGGGTCTTCATTACCTGTAATCGTTCTACTATCTTACCACCATGGTATTTTAATTGATTATTGCGTTTCTGTGCTAATGTGATATGGCAACCTGAACTGATGTACGTACGTACGAAGTTCTACGTTGTAACCGACTGACAGACCTTCATAATACCTAAATGATGTGTAGTTGGGACATTCAGTCCTGCAGCTTACTATGCATGTTGTTTAGTGTATACAGAAGTCGTTCTTTCTGTAATTACTTATTGATAGCACATGGACTGCATAATCATTATAATTTAGAAAAAAATATAACATGCCATTATTGTTAACACTTTGAGTTTTGCTATGAATAGGTTTTTGAACAATTATTATTTATAAATTACTTATCCCTGTTTTTATTTTTCATTTTCTCATAATTTTTAAATTCAGTACGTCGAACTCTTAACAAGAAATTAGCTGAAGATGATATCAAAGCCATTGAACGTGTCATACAAGCGTCAGCAAAAACCTAAAAATTCAATTAGTTTTGCTATCTAACAAATTAATTAAATCAACTAATCTGCATTAACAATTACAATATACTATGTTGCAATGTATGAATGACCATTTCAAAGGGGCTGATCACTAAAAAAAAGTATTTTCTCTCTGTACATATAAATAAACCTTGATCAGTTTCACTTATGAGTGTGATAGTAACAGTCCTCTAAATACTGTTCATCAAAATGAAATCAAAGTTATTCTTACCCTGATACACTACACTGATATAATATGATACACATGTAGACATTGCCACGCATATGTATATATATATATATATATATATATATATATATATATATATATATATATATATAATGTGTATTGGTGTGCGTGTTCTTGTTACACATCTCATAACTCTGATTATGCCTTACCTTGTTCAGTTGATCTGCATGTTCCTAAGCTATTCTCAATTGTGTGATGATGAGAAAGTCTGCAGTTTAATTCACATCAATTCTAGGTGTACTTCCATAGTTTGACAATAGATGAACTATGCAAAACCAATTTTTCTTTCTTTTCCTTACAAGTTTTCTTTGAGCCCTCGATTGGCAACAGCTAATTTTATCCCTCACCCAAATATATATATATATATATATATATATTTGTGACAAAATCTTACTAAACTCCTTTTATCCGACAAGAGTGCAAGTCTCATACCAACCTATATATATATATATATATATATATATATATATATATATATATATATATATATATATATATATATATATAATACAATCTCAAGCATAATACCGTGACAGACATACACATACAATCAAAATATAAATAACACAATAGAACAACCTTTTCCTCATGCTTGATTACATCAGCTGAAGTTCTATTGTTGCTAATATTGAACTGTTAGTGCTTGTGAGAACAGAGTAGAAATTGTATCTTCTTTAATCCTTTATTGTTTCATTTTGCAAAATAATTGATTGAAATTTTCCCCAAATTTCTTTATGTTTAACTTCAATGGGAATATGTCTTCTGATTTTTCTTTCAAATTTCGTTTGTTATCATTGTTATACACTTATCTTAACTTAACCAAACAAAATGGGGAATGCCTTTTTGTTTCGATTTTAAATATTTTTTAATAACCTGTTTCGTTTTCGTCACGTGCACCCAAACTGAATTCTACAATGTAAAAGTAAAAAATCATCGACAATGTTTCTTTTTTTTAGAAAGATGAAACTAGTTTCAGTCACTCTTACTTCAATAATAAATTCAGACCACTTGATCTTTCTTTCTATGCCTGAAAATTTGTGCACATTGTGCAGATTGTGTTCCCAGTCTACTTTATTTTGCTCTCCTGTTGTCATCTTTCTGACTTGAATGATTATATGACTGACTGCAAGAAAAAAAATAGAAGTGCATTTTAAAAGTTTCAACAAACTGATATCCACCATGCTGCTGTTATCAATGTTTATGCCACCGATGTGTTTTAATGTATAAATGAAATTTTTTTTTACATGTGATTTACTTCAGTGATTGTTTTTTTTTTTAATGTTCAAACTAATAAAGATATTCCCTCTTCCTTCATACAATGTACATTATTATATTTTTAAATGTTATTGCTATCCATAATTTGCCAAGTTCCCAAAACAAATCGAAATGTAATGAACTGTCACAGCATTACATCGATCGCCTAGACAATTTATTGTCACCTAGCAATTCAAAAATTAATTCAGATGGATAAAAGCAGAGAATGTGTTTTAATAATTCATGTTTAACTTAATTTGAATTGTATTGTTTTTCCGTATCTTTGATATTTTCTCCCCCCCCCATCCTCCTTACTTATATTTTGATGTATTTATGTACTACTATTACTATACTACTCTTGAGATTTTATTTTTTAGAGATAAAAACAAAGAACTATATATATACAATTATCCATGTTTGTATATCAGATTCTTATTTTAGAGTTAATTGATATCCCTAATTATCTATTTATAAATTACCCATTAAAAAAATTTCCCTTACCCAAACCTCAACCAACATTAATAACAAACATGATGAGAAGTTAAATAACTAAGCATATTAGTCCAAAAACTCTACATCTTTACAATTTTACATTTTATACCTTTCTCCTCCTCCTCCTCTTACTTATCTTTTATTCTAACAAACCTTCATTTATTATCCATTTTCTACGAATTTCTTATGACGATCATAATCTACATGACTTAAATTATTTATTATTATTTATGCAGAGATGGATGACAAATTAATTGATTGATAGGTTGATTTATTAATTGATAAACATATAAATATATATTTATTGTGTATGATGACAAATGATTGACTTTATGACTAAAAACAGTCATTTGCTGGTGTTTATTTATACACCAATCATCTTAGATCTCGTTGCTTCTTAAAACTTTAAAGTTTTTTTTTTATTCTTCTCATTGTACAGTAAGCATCCTCTCGAAACCAAGATAAAATGACCATAACTGACGAATTCTATATTTGAAGGAGTATAATTATTTTCCTTCATATATATGTGCATATTTTTTGAATAGAATTGACCGATTCTCCTTAAATTGTTATTACTTCTGTTGTTATGCACAGTGTGTATGTTCAACTTATCTGAATCAATATGTAATTGAATATAACAGTTATACAAACCATTACAAGTTTGAACTTTAAAATATAATGATTTTTTATTTAGAATGTTTCACCATCATACTCTCACAATCTATAAGATCGATAAGTATGCCTACTCAATTATGAAACTAGTTACATTGACATACTTTAGGAAGCACTGATCGTGTCATCAGTAAAGTGGACATTATCAATGGCGCTGGATATCTGCTGTCATATATATTGCCAACTGAATGATACTGGGACCACGAACCACTTAATTCTAACGTCATGTAATCTGAAAGTTCAATGTTTAATCATGAGTCCTGTCCCCGAACTCCTTAGTATGATCAAGAGCGGGGAGAATTTGCTCCCTCCCCCCGAATGCTCTCATACGACCATGAGTGTATTTCCTCTGTGAGGAAAGTTCTGCTCACTGATTTCTCATCACACGGGTGTTGTTTTGGGAAACTGGAAGAATGAAACACCCATGACCAATTACCAAACAGGCCTTTACGCGGCCGTAGCTGCTACCATGACGTCGTGTTCTGGTTTGCCTATCGTGATGACCCAACCGAGCTATATTGGCTTGAACATATGTTCCTATAGGTTCTACCATACTAGGCAGGTCTATTGGAGAATGATGAGACTAAAAGCAACTACTCAAGGTCTGACGGTGAAGTCGTACTGTTGACTGCAGAGGGGTCTGACGGCAGTTATGTGTTTCTCTCAGACAACCAGTATCTGCAGCGATGCGGCCTTCCCAAAAGGAAAGGAGGATTAGAAAAGGTCGACCCTAAAAATGTCACACCTCACCTCACGGATTTTCGTCTCCGGCGGTAAGGGCTTTTAAATAAGAACGGTGCTAACACTTTAAATACTGCCCATAAAAACGTCGTGCGTGACCGGCCTTTGGACTCTGCGGTCACGCTCCCATGTCTCTAAGATCAACACTAATCTACCTTCTTTTTCAGGTTCCTCAAGAAACACACTTCCACGATGTGGGCAACCAGGAAGTAACATCACACCCGTAAAAACACACGAGATAAAACTGTTCACAATCAAATCCTTCCTACACTCCATAATATCTCTCTTATCTCCACGACTATCACTTTTCGCATTGCTTCATCACTCCGTACCTCTAAAGCAAACAATTCGAGTTCGCGAAACGTTATTCCTGGTCTCCTGAAACCCCGTTCCAAACTACATATTGAGCACTTTATGTCTGGACATTACGTCAAACAAGGCAACAGGCTTCCTTGGTTAGGACGCCGTCGATATATGCTGCTTCTCGGAAACGCACATACAGGACCCAAGTAAAATCAATTATTTGGTTTCACCTGGTCAAAATAAAGAAGCAGCTCGATCTACTCTTCGCGTATCTGGAAGCCCTGATGCTCCTTCTCGGGGTCTCGGTGGTGTAGGTATAGTATTGCGTAGCAGAACTAGATCTCCTAGACTGGATTCCAGTATTTAGTCGCCTGTACGCTGTCCGACTAAACGGGACAGTAAGGACTCTGAAAGATAAGGACACTCACCGTCGCCTCTTCGTCGTATCTGCCTACGCTCCCAGTGATGGCAGTTCAGACGAAATAAAGGACGAATTCTGCAGAAAGCTTCCGGGTCTCCTCCAAAAAGTTAAGCATTGATATAGTAATAGTGGCTGGTGGCTTTGATGCTCAAGTAGGTAGACTCAGTGAAAAGGAAAGACATCTGAGTGGATCTTATGGTGTCACAGTTCAAAGAATATATAATGGCGATCATATGTTGCAACTGAACACTAACTTTAAGCATAAGGTAAGAAGCCTTTTAACCTGACGACCCCCAAAGCCGACCTAATGATGGACCCAAGTAGACCACATCGCTATCAGCCATCGGTGGAGAGGCTCTGTTGAAGACTGCCGCTCATTCTGGAGCACTTGTTTAGACTCAGACCACGCTCTAGTGTGAGCGGTTATTTGTTTGCGCCTTACTGCACTCAAGAAAAATATCTCAAGGAAACCTCTTAGGGCTCTATTTAATGATAATGTAGCTGAGAATATATTTCCGGAACAACTAGAAAAACAGGTAGACAGCCATGTATTAAGTGATGCCCACCCTGAGGCAGCTTAGAATGATATAGAAAAGGCTGTAGAAACAGCAGTGAAATCTTCTAGTAAGGTAAACCATAAAGTTAGGGAGAAGCCGTGGATTTCAGTAGCATCTACCGAACTGATAGATGTTCGACAGCTCATCCCATCTAGCTCTGAGTACGATGAGGAGAGGATTCATCTCATGCGCAGGCTGATAAAAAGTCTTCGCAATGATCGAGAACAGTAGTGAGTAGCGGAAGCAAGGGAGAAGGAAAAGGCAACAGTCGGCAGCTACTTAGACCCAGGAAACTGGTATTAGGAAGCCA